AGAAATCACTGATTAATATTGAGATCAGTTTCACTGTTTTTGGTTTGATTTTTTTTTTTTTTTTTTAAATAGATTTCTATTCTTAACTAGGCTGAGTTCTCTTAATTGCATTCTGAGTGCTGAGCTGTGGGATCACACAACTTGTGAACAGCCAACTCAAGCTGTCATCCTTTTTTATAAGCAATGTATTATAGTTATGAATGAGTTGAATGAAAATGCTTTTTTTTTTTTTTTTTTAAATACTCTTAAAAATCAACATTAAAAGCCCTTTCAGATATGAGGTAAAGAGTAAGAGAGAGCAGGAGAAAAGAAATGAAAGTGCCTTAGGCAAGTGTGAACACAACCTCTTAACTTCTGGATAGTTTTAGTACAGTCCACAAAGTAGAGGAAAGCAAAAGAAACCAAAGAACGGAAAGGAAAAAAAAGAAACAAAATGATGATTTCCCTGTTTAGCTGAAGTAGTTAGGAAGAGTGATGGTTCCTTTACAGGAACACTTGCATCTAGGGAGATTATAAGGTCCAATTGAAAGCACATTCAACTTCAAAAAAGTTAGTTTAGAGGAGCCAGCTGCCAGAGTCTAGCTATATTCATTTAAATTCCATTCTAAAATACTCCCAATCATACTATTATGAAACAAACCAAGAAAATTCTGCTGTTAGTAATAATAAATAATTTAAGAAAACTCAAAATATTCTTTCTTATATAATTTTGTATATATTTTCTCTGGTAAAAATAAGCCTGGAGCTCTGTGCTAGGTTACTGCTCCTAATGAACAGATAAAATGTTGGAAAACTCCTTATTCTCTCTCCACTGAAGTCACCGCAGGACTCAATGAGATTAATTCCATGTGGCAATATAATGTATCTTTATACAGAAATTGTTCACACACACAAAATTACAGCAGCATATAAAAATTAATATTACTAAACAGCTAAAAATAAGAAACATTTTCACTTTGAATACTTATTATGGGTTTACTATCAATGTAAGAACAGACTGAATCTGTCTGATGTTTTGAAACAGATCATGCAAAGCAATACGCAGCCCTAGGGGGTCACTGAGACCAGAAGTGTTCAGAACCTGATGCAATGAATGCCACAATTACTCTGATTCACTATACCTTAATGTTACCTGAACTGTAACTCAGCACTTATATGTTACTTGCTATTATTTGGTGTACTTTTGGATCCAAGCAAAGATAAACAGTTTTAGGTTTAGAATGATAATCAATAAAATAGCAATTAGGATGTTTAGGTAATACTCCAGAGAAAAGAAGGCTAAACTTTATCAGAAAAACTCAAAATTGTCCACAGATTCATACCTAGAGGCTTGTTTTATACCTATATATACTTATATACTTATATACACACTTTTATATGCTTGTGTATATTTACAAATACAAAAACATTTCAAAAAAAGTTTCAATTAATTGAAATGTCAAGTGTAATGAGAATGTTACTTAATAAATAATTACTAATTTATGAGCTTCTGTATCTGTTGAATCATTATAACAATACTCTGAACAAGATTCTTGATCTTACAAAAATAGTTTAAATTCTTTTTTAGATTCTGATAGTAAAAATAAGAGCTTGCTGTTATAATGGAAATACAGAGGTCACTCCTAAATAATGTTTCCTATTTATTTCCATAGAAACTTCAACAGATACAGAGAGCACAATAACACTATTTGATAGAGCAAATTCTCAGTAGCGAAAAACTCTTTTTCAACATAGTTACCACCATTAGCTATGATGCCTGCATACTGCACTAGTAAAATTCTGTGCCAGAGGAGGTGAACCACTATCTCTGTCACCACCTCAGAAACACACTACCCACCATATCACTGCACTCACTTCCACTGTTTGGTCTCCATAAGCTCTCAGCAAGCCATTTTTTCTGTATGGAGGGATTCAGTTCCACACCTTTGCTTCATATGCTCTTCCATGTCAGATGCCATTGTGTAAGACTGCCCCTCTGCTGCCATCTGTCACATGGCAACAAAATGTAATGGAATATTTGTGTGAAGATTCAACCTCTTCCGCCATGCCATCAACATTCCCCTTTGATGTGATGGGCCAACTTAAAAAGCTAGGAGGCATTGCTTTCAGAAAAGCACTCAGTACCAGTGAAAAACATTAATTTAAAAACTTAATATTAATTGAGTCTTTGACTATTTATTTAAACCACCTTTATTCCTGTATTTTTTAAAAAAATACAGAATTCATCATGGTACTTATTATTAGATTCTCATTTTCTTTATAAGCCATTATATATGGTACTTGATCTTCAGAGACATCACACATCTTGATTTTGCTGATGTATAGCTGATGGGATTAACTAAGTACTTCATTATATACTACCTGGGAAGAAATGCAATATTCTAGGCATTACTTGATATATGAAGTGCAAGTTCATGATTACACTCAGACTGCGTTAAAAGCAATTAGTGATTTTTGGATTTTACTGGTAATGCCTAACAAGGAAATGATCAACTATGTGAGTATGCCAGATAAGAGTAGAAAAATTGATGTTTTGAAAATGGATTTGCAGCATAAGTTTGCAATGTATTTGTAGGACTTTAGTTACGTTGCTGGGATTATGGCTGGTACTGAAATATATTTAAACTGATAAGTGTTTTTCATGTTAACTATGGGTTTGCACTTATTACCACTGATTATTTAAAAGTAAAAAAAACTGTAGATAATAAAACAAAGTCAAAGCCCTACCATTCAGTCCCAATACTACTGATGTTTTCCATAAGATTCCTAACAAAGAAAATGACTATACAGAAATAAACCAAGTAGGGTTAACCTCTTCATTAAAAAGATAATATATCTATTTCACTATGGCACAATTTTGCTGCAACTACTAAGCATCTGATCAAAAGCTTTGCCTATCATTTGACAAGCCACCTAATCAATATCTACAATCATGATGTATCACATAATAATTCTCAGTTTATAACCAGTTAATATGATTGAGTTAAAAGGTGAGCAGTAATCATACATTTGTGTTGAATACTCTTACAGATGAAGACAAGCCAAAAAAGGTATCTGATCCATTAAAAAGTTGGTTATTTTACAGTGAATCATTATTATCTAACGATTAGAAATGGGTGTGACTCATCTAAATAAACATGGTCTTGGAACAGTTGTACAGGAGAATGTGGAGTCCAAATGCCTTCAATAATAAATAAAAACAAGTGATTTTTTTTTCTATTGTTACACGTAATTTAATGGACTTTGATCTAACAAGCTATTACCTGCAAAAATCATGAATGGTATTGACAACTGATTTTTGAGTGCTTGTTAACACATAAGGTTAAATAAGGTCCAAAGAAATCGAAATGTTCTACTTCAAAGTTAAAAATGTCACAGCTAACAAATAAAATGTGGCAGCTAAACATCTCCCTAGTTTCACCATCCATCTCTCTCCTCATCCCACCAACATAAACAGATCCAGCTTGCAAGATGTGGACCAGTAATGAGAGACACTATATATCCATCACACCCCTTGCCTCAGAGGGTATAAAAGGGCATACTGCTTTTTGCAAGATCGTGTTCAAGCTATAGATGTAAAATTTGAAGATATACAGGAAAGAAACAAACTGCATGACGAGTATCATTCCTAAAATAGGTTTTGGTTTCTACACTGCCAAGTGTCCACTGAAGAAACAATAAAACAACGCTTCCCCGAAGACACACAAGTGAGAGGGATGCAGCTAGTCCCTGGAAGGGAAGATATCAAATGTACAGTGTTCTCATAGGAATAACTTACACAGCAATTTATGAGCAAGTTTGAAAGTTGTTGGAAGGAATATTGTGTTATTACTCTCACAGGAACCAAAACTATTATTGTGCCACTGGTCTGCTTCACAGTGTTATGTTTTACACTTAGTAACTGTCATGATGCTCCTCGACATGAACTTTGAACCAGCTCCAAATGATATCTAATCAATGTACTTTCATAAATTATTTCAGATCAGCATATTCTTTATGTGCCAGAAGGTTCCTCTAAGCAGCTTCACATAATTCTTGTTGCACTCCACAATGTCTTAAATATATAACAAAATATCTACCAAAGTTCACCTATTCAAACTCAGGTACAAAAGAAGTTAAAAGGGGAATGGGAACAAACATTTCCAAATAAACAAACAAACCACCCCCAAAAAGGCCGTGTTTGTAGTTAGTGTACAGTGAGAATTTACTGCCCTACTTCAATTTAATACAACTATTTATACAATAGTGCCAACTTCACAGCTTAGCATGAAAGACACATAAATAAAGAGGGAAAGGATATATTAGAGACCTTTCTTCTATTCAAAAGGAAAGTTCAGCCACGATTTCAGTGGCTCAGAGGCTTCTAAGAATGTGTCCAAAGAAAACCTTGCAATTGGCATTGTTTAGCTCAGGAGAGAGTGAGAACTAAAACAACATTGCCTCACTCAAGGAAGACAAACCAAGTTATATGGGAAAAATAAAAGTGGTTATGGTAGGCATAATTTCAAAATAACACTCTGGGAATGGGGAATGTAACAGAAACTGAAAACATGGAATTCTGAACCAAAATCAGTGCATATTTCCTTCAGAAAGGTGTTTAAGTTTTAAACACAAAAACCTAGATTTAAAAATAGTTTTACAGTACCTATGAACAGCTTTCATAATTATTTCTGTGTTTCAATAGAAAAAGGTTGTTGCTGACTCAGGTTTTATTTCTTGTATTTAAACATAGCCCTGTTATATTTTGCAACTATAAACATTACAATCATGCCAATGCACAAGGAGGAACTAGAAAACACAACTCAGTAAAAAACAAAACCTGAAACTCATTCATTCAACGAACAGCTTAGCAAAACGCCAAAGCAAACACCAATCACAAAAAACATACAAAAATATTAAATATAAAATTGGCTTAGGTTTTAGCCATTTGAGGTATCATAAGCAACACAGATAAGATTTTTTTAAAGAATATATGATTTTAATTGACTTTGTCCCTTTAATGATAAATTTACAATGAAAATGACATGTCCACCATAATTTTGAAATACAACATAGCTACCACCAGTTTGCTGCAAATGCCTTTGCATTATATTTGTTTGTGGCAGAAGAATAAATCTGATAAAAAATAAATTCTTATACATATCAATTCTTGTGAGCTTAATAACAAGATGAAATATTTAAATAAATGAAGTTAAAATTATATCAAAGAATATAAACATCCCTCCTGGATCTCCTCATGCAAGTATGTCCTCAGCATACTGTCATAAAGTGAAGACATAAGATTTGATGAAAATGAAGCAAAAGTATGTATTTGATGCTGGCCTGGTATTTTTTCTCTTGTCAACTGGAGTAATAACTTTTCCTCACCTCTAGTACTGATTGCATTGCAACCCCACAACTCAGAGGCCATTTGTGTTGGTCAGAACACATGTGACTGATAAATACTTGGCACCTGCACAATTTCTGATGTGTTCGCTGATCCTCTGAGGCCCCACTCCCACATGCTGTCAAAGATGCTAGTGGCAGATGCTCAGATAGTTGCCATGGACAGGCAAGTGAAGGTGGTTTTATTTAATGTGGAAGAGGAAGAGTTTGTTCCACCATCTCTCCGAGCTTTCACAATATGTACTCAGGCATTGGTGAAAAAATACTTGAAATAAATGTCAGCTAAAAGCACCCAAATCATGTTTGGTAATGCAAAGAAAGGACATATTTTAGGGTATGGTCAGTTACGATATTCAGAGTCTCCACTGTTGCTTCTAGAAATGTCAGGGCCATTCAGAAATGTCAGTTCCTTTGCTAGTTTCCAGATTGTAACTGAAGGATCATGTAGCTCTCTCTTTTTTTCCTCTCTCTTTAATAGGTCTATAAAGATCAGCTGGAAAGTGTAGACAACAATTGTTCACTGGTTAGCTTTACTTAGAGCTACAGGGCATATATATATATATGTGTGCTTTGTTTTGCCTTATTGATCAAACTAGCTTACATTTTTAGCGCATACAAATAAAAATCAGGAAAAAAAAGTCGATGAAAAACACAAACAACACAAAACAAATAAGATTCCAATCGTGCAAATTTTGCTTCACTGGATAAAGCACTTCTTGACACAGTAATGTCCAGAATACCCCTCCCCCAGAAAAATACAGGATTGAGACTGAAGCCATTCTTTTTTTTTTTCTTTTTTTTTTCTTTTTTTTTTTTTTTTTCCCTTAAGGCTATACAACACAAAGAAATAAAGCATGGAAAGAACACCTCATTGGGCTCAACACTTCATTCTTCTGGCTCTGGAGTGAGCCTTTGACAAAGCAATTGCGTGGTCCGAGTAATTTGTCTCATTGGAACAAGAAGAGAAAGAAGAGGGGAAAAAATGAACAAGAGGAAAAAAAAATAATAAAAAAGAAGAAAGTCAATGATCCCAACAATAAAATCCAAAATTGACTTTACAATCACAGGTACAAATTGCTCAGGTCGATAATTTCATTTCTCCTAAAGATCACTGTCGTCTAAAACTAATTAGAGGCGCAGGTTCCCGAGGAATTGTCAATATTCAAAGCAAATGTTGGAGTTTAGAAGGTCATCATTCTTCTACTGTGACAGTCTGACGGGGTGACTGGAAATATTATCATGTGCTGCCAAGTTCAGGGTGTTGTTAACTGAATTCTTGCTCCAGCTCATCAATCTGTCTCCTATTTGGCCTTCTTTTATAGTGGAAAGACTAAGAAGCCAGAAAAGGTTGAATATTTCCACCCTCCCATGAGGTTACCCCTTTCCAGTTTGAGATGCACTTTGTCTTCTCTTTCCATGAGGAGCAAGACCCCGTTGCTGGCTGCTTCTCTGGTGACGTCCTGATCCCCTGCAAAAGCTGAAATCACTGGGTAGCCGTTTTGCATTAAACTTACCTAGAAAGTGCAAAGAAAGAGAATCTGAGTTTTGTCAATAGCCTCAGTGACTTCCTTGCCCTGTGCACTTCATTAAACTTCGGCACAGGTTAGAGATAGAGATGAGCTAAGCAAAGGCAATGCACGATTTTTGTCATGCATGCAGAACCTTTTATCTAAAATAATCCACTGCCTTATTTTTTATCTGCTGGGTTTATAAATGGGGGGTGGGAAGTGGGGGGAAAGTAGAGATGAGTATTTGAAAAAGCAGCAAGACAGCTAGATCACAACCCACCTGGATGGTTTGTCTGTTATAGACCTTGACCACGTGGAAACTGAAACTATATATCCCTTTCCTTGGCGCTACAAATATACTGGAAGCAAGATCAAAATGGTTGCCAATATTAACTAATACCTGGAAAGTAAACAAAGGAAAAAGAAAAGGAAAGAGACAGAGAAAGAAGAGAGAAAGAAATCAGACCTTGTCTTAGCAAAGTGCAAGTGATAGTACGATATGAGCTCCATGAGCAATACAAAGCCTACTTGGAATGGCATTTGCGGCACAATTAAAAGTGCACTGCAGGGGAAAGGAGTCAAGTTACAGAGGCATTAAAACAGCGATGCGGCTCATAAATGATTTAGTTACACGGTGATGAGCTCCAAAGCCCATCAGATGAAGTGCAAACATCCACACCACGCTGCCAATGAGGCAAAGGTGGCAGGAGGTGGCGGTGGCAGAGAGGCGAGGAGAAATGAATGCAACTGGAACTTAGCAGTTCACGAAGCAAATATAGATCTTTTAGCCTATGCTCGGAAACCAGACCTGCCCTCGTATTTAAAAGCATATACAACAGAAATCAGACTGTGATATTGCTCAGGAGGAGAGGAGGAGAGAGGCCCCTCAGCACGGGAACATCTGTCTGAACATCCATCAGCCTCTTGCGCCTTTCCATCACCTCTGCAATCACCCTGGATACTGGGGTGAGTCCTTTCGTCTTCCTCAGCAGCAATCTGAATTTCCTTTTTTTTTTTTTTTTCTTTTTTTCAATGACTTTTAACCAAAAACAAAACAAAAAATTAAAATTAAAAAAAAAGAAAAGAAAAGAAAAGAAAAAAAGCTGAGCCCTCAGGCAGACGTTGGAATAGATAAATAAATAAATAAATAAATAAATAAATAAAAACAAAAAAAAACCACACTCCCGTGGGGTGAGCCCGTGACGGCAGCTCAGTCTCACTCCGCTCCCGCCCGGCCCCACCACCGTCACCGTTTCCTGCATGGCTGCACTCAGCTTTGAGGGAGAAAAATATAAAGGAAAAATAATAATAATCAAAAAAAAAATAAAAAAATAGCCCCGCATAGCCCCGCGAGGAGCCAAACCCTATTGTTTCCAAGCAGCGGGAGGGGGGACATCAATCCGTTACTGCGAGAATAGAAGGAGGAACGCTTTCAAACCCCCAGCTAAGCACTGCGGGGTGAAGTATCTACAATGAGCTAAATACACAGAGAAACCTCTTTTTTTCCTCTCTGCCGATCCGACTTTTAGAAATTTTGCACACAAGAAATAACGCTGTGAACTCATCAAGGAGAAACAGGTGCACAGGTGAAAGACAAGCAGATAAAAAGGTTAAAAAATAGGGAAAACAGTGCGTGCGTGCATTTTGGATGACTCCACAACACTGCTTCAGAAGACAGGAGAAATAATAATAATTAAAAAAAAAAGGTTTTTTTAAAAAAATGTAATAACTGAATTTAATGGCAAAATCCAAGTGGAACGGCGGGGCAGGGCAGGACAGGGCGGCAGCTCGGGATGCCGCATGAAGAATCTGGCGTGCGCCGTATGGGGCAGCCCCGCTCCCCGCCCGAAGGGACACGGCTCGGTAGCGCGGGGAACCCCTTCAGCCCGCCCTCCTCCCAGAGGTACCGTAACGCTGCCATACGCGCTCGGCACCGGCAGATGCGGCGACTCCCCGCCCGTAAATCTCCGTCCTCCCTCCGCCCTGCAGATGGCCATCTCCCGCGAAGGACGCGCTCTCGTCCCGCCTGCCCGTGGATGATCCTCGGGGGTGTCGAAGCACCAGGTGGCACATTAGAGTACTCCGTCAGCCACGGGACCGCCACCAACCCAGAAAGCCCCGCAGCCACCCCAAAGGACGTCCCGAACTCTTTCCGGGGAGTTGAGCCGTGGGGTGGTTATTAGCGGATGGCGGGGAGGGAGCGAGAGGGAATATGCAAGACGTAAGCGCGGGGCGAGGGGATGCCAGCGCGGGGGCAGCAAGGACGGAGCAGGCGGCGGCTGACCTGGTCGAAGTAGATGGTCATGGTGCGGTTGCTCATCTCGGAGGGCTCGTGGTTGGTGCTGCGGGTGGCCGAGAAGGCCACCTTGGCGCTGCCCGAGCGCACGGAAATCCCCAGGGAGGAGGTGATGGCGCCGTCGGCCGAAGGGCTGGAGTCGCACACCACCAGGCACTTCCCCTCCAGGACGATGGGCTCCGTGTCGTTCTGCGCCCGCACCGGGCACCCGGCGGGCAGCAGCAGCAGCAGCAGCGGCAGCGCCGCCGCCAGGCAGCAGCAGCAGCCGCCCGCCGCTTCGGGCAGCGCCCCCCGCCGCCGCCGCCCCATGCCCCGCGCCGGACCGCCGCCTCTCGGGCTCTCCGCCGCCGGGCGGGCGCGGGGAGGCGGAGGGGGCTGCGCGACTGCTGCCGCCGCGGCGCCCCGCGGCCAGCGCTCGGCGGGACGGCGGCTGGGCGGCGGCGGGGCCGCGCCTTCCTCCCTTCTCCTCCTCCTCCTGCTCCTCCGCGCGGGGTGAAGGAGCTTCCTCAGAGGGCGGGCGGCGCGCAGCCTGGTGGGGTAAGGGCGGCGGTGAGGCGGCAGCCGGGAGCCGGGCACCGCGCAGCCCCGCACCGTGCAGCCCGGCAGTACCCCCGCCCCGCCCTACAGCCGGCAGAAGCACAACAGGTCCCGGGGAGACCGCGCCGCCGCCTCTTCTCCCTTTCCCCGTCCCCCAGCAGGTCCGTATCTACCTGGAGGCGGGGGCAGAGCCGCACCCGTCGGGGCACACCGGGAGGAACCTCTCAACACTGCGCTATGTCCCCTCGGGCTCCCAGTGCTCCCTCTCTGCCCTCCATCCCGCAGGGCTCGTAGTGCTGCCCGGCCGCGCTTTGGGAGCCACCGCCCTCCTCCTGCCCTCAGGCACTCCATGTACTTCCCGACCCTTCGTCCCCATCCCGGGCTGTCCCCGTTACCACGGACCCCAGTGGCTTCCAAAACTCTCGGGAAGGCGGCGGGAGGTTCGGGCACCCCGCTCCCAACCTCGGCATGCAGAACGCACCTCAAGAGGCGAAACCTCCTCAGCAGGCGCCTCCCCGGGAAGTTGCCGCTCAGTTTTCTCCGCTCAGCGGAGAAATCACTGAGGTCTCAGATCCCCCCTCCCCCCCGGGCATCTCTGCCGCTCGCCTCACTCCGCGACCCTAATATTTAAAGTGGTGTTTTGCAAAGGGAGCGACCGGCGGGGAAGGGAGCGGCCTCTTACCTGGGAGGTCCATGGCGGGAGAGGAGGGTTGGCGGAGGAGCTCGTCCGGGACCTGGTACTGCTTAGAGAAAATGAGCCGAGATTGCGCTGGCAGAAAGAAAAGGAAACAGGAGTCGCCTCTTTCTCTCCCGCCCATTGCCAATAATCCCCCCCCCCCCCCCCCCCCCCCCCCCCCCCCCCCCCCCCCCCCCCCCCCCCCCCCCCCCCCCCCCGGCCGCCACCACCACCCGACGTTCTCCCTCCTCCCCTCCTTTCTCACACACACACACACGCACCCGGCTGGAATTCAGGCTCCGACACCCCCCGTAGCACCGCGGGGCTCCTCTCGCCGCCGGCTGCAACCAGAGGTCGGACAGACCCCTCGGTATCTATACCTGCACCCGTCGGGCTGAACAAACGTGCCGGCGGGGAGTAAAGCGCCTACGGACAGCCGCGCAGCATCGCGAGCTGGAAGCTGCTTGGAATTCAGGGTTTATTACAGATAACAACAATACAAAACACTAAAATGGACACGCTGTCGGGAGCACCGTACCTCGAAGGCCAGAGCTCCCCGCCCGCCCCTGCGCTGAACAGAGCCCAGCGCTCAGCTCACCATTAGGACAGCACCGCTGCCCTGGGGCGGTCCCGCTCCCAGCCCTGCGCCCGCACCGCCCTCGGAGCGGCGCCATAAGCGGGCGTGTGGCGCCACCTGGCGGCGGCGGGCGCAGCGCGTGCCGGGAGCGGGTCGCGACCCGAGAGCGAGAGGGAAAACCCCCGAGGGCCGGGCGCCAGCGAAGGGCTGGGGCGGCCACCCCCGCCCTCTGTCCCTCCGGTCTTACAGAGCGATGGTGCCTATGAACGCCAAGGTTTATCAGTTAGCACCGCTGCAAGTGTTTCGTGTGTCTCAGCGTGAAGCTGCTGCTGGGAGGGAGGGGACGGCGAAGCGCTGGCGGTGAAGTTTTGAGAGAAAAGCATTGCATTTCTATGCACTCTTCTCATTTACAAATGGTTTTTCTGGATGCATATGGTGTTTTCCTGGAGATCCTGATATGCAGACTTCAGCATCTGAAAGTGTGCTAGCGAATCACACATAAATCCAAATGGTGGCTGTAACGTTCCTGAGCCGGAGAAAAATTTGCAGGTGTAGCTCTGTAGTAAAATTACGATCTCGTCTATGAATGAGTACTCCTGTTTCAATCTTCTGCTTTAACCACCAGTAAGGAACCCCTGCGGGTGTCTGCCTGATGATTTGCACTGAGAAATTAATCATGCCCTGAAATCGCGGCTAAGCAGTGTGCAGGGAATACCTAACCTATAGCTCCTTATTTTAAATGAGAATTTTATAGTAAGCCTGAAATACTTGCATTTGATGGTCTTTTTTTTTTTTTTTTTTTTTTTTTTTTTTTTTTTTTTGCTTGTGCTTGAGGATGAGAGTAGAAAGCTGATATGCATAGTGCACTAATAAGTATCAGAAAATCAAAGCAGGAACCAGGCTGCGAGGCAGCACCCATTCTGCAAGACGGTGAGAAGGACCATGGAAATTCATCCGAAGATATCAATTCTCAATCTCACATAGCTCTGGTACACTGGGGAGTCTTTAGATCAGGCTATCATTGATTATTACTTTGCTGTATAAACGAGGGATCAAAGCAGAGCTCAAAGATTTGCTCATTGTTTTATGTGACTTACAGAGCCCAGTGGTGAAAGAGGGATGGCGCGTCATCACTTCTCTCTGTTGCTCTTAAGAAAGATGAGAATGAAAACTAAAGGCAGCTGGAAAGCTCTTAAATCTACCATGCATCCACAGGAAAACAGATGAAATCTTGCCTTTCTTCTAACACGAAGGATGAATCCCACACTTATGAATCCCCTTTCTCTTTTGGCAGCTAACTTCCAAAAGAACTGTCAGTATGAATGCAAATGGAAGATAACAGAATATTTACTTCTAAACAAATCTATAAGTGTATGACCTTTAGAATGTCAGTTTAAAAAAAGCTCCACTTATTATTTCTAATTAAATACTCTCCTTAAGGGATCGATCCACAACCTTCATGGAGCGACATGATTGCCAGAATTATTTTTGTATTTTCCTTTCTTCTGTGAATGGCCAGGCTGGAAATATATTTGCAATTACTAGTTGCAGTTCGCTCAGTTATGGAATGACTTCAGAAGGTTTAACTTTGAAAGAAAATAGACAAAGTGTTTATAGTCCTCTTCCTTGTGCTCAGAGTTGCTTATGTTGGGAAAGAACTGTATTATCAAGCTTGTGCTGTTTTTCAAGCTGGCAGTTCAAATGTTTATACCAGGGACACGTTATACCTGGTGGTGTGGGAATTCAACAAGAAATGGAAATGCTCACTTCACTGGGACATTCCTTAAGCTAACATTCACCTTGAACTCATTTAAGCCAAAAGCTTCAAGGGGAAAAGCTTTTTGTCTCATCTACTAAATCAAGTCATCAACAGAAAGGTATTTTGATCAGTAGCTCCCAACTGTTTCCCATATATTATTTACATTAATGCCTAGCAAAATGAGACACTTCTTCCCAAAAGAAAATACATGCTTAAATGTTTCTGAAATTAGTTCACAGATATTTGCATGTTTTATCTATACATTATATATGCAAGCAGATGAATAGAATACAGAAAAAGAGAAGATGTTCTTTTAATATGAAACACATTTTTGTCTTCCCATAGTATGAGAATAAGTTTACAGCAGGGACACAAGAACGATTTTTATGATGATCCAGGATACAGAAGACCAAGTCCTCATTTATTAACCAGACTGCCCTTTAGCTTACCAAATGTTGTTTCCATGGATTATGTATCTTTCAAACATTCTACCGTAAGACATTAAAAAATGGAATTTGATAAATGCAATTCTTTTTTCTTTACAAGCATACTACTGAAAAGTAGAAAAAGTGTTAACAACAGTTTGTGGTTAAATCAATTGATGTGACACTCCCATCATCCCATTCCCCAGGTAAGTCAGTTCTCTGTTACATTCAACAATTAATACGACTAAAGTAACATTTTGTACATCCAAATTAATTCATTCTTTGTCTGTCTATCAGGGCACCAGGGCAGATTATTTTACAACTACCAGCTATGGCAAAGATTATGTAACTTTCTGGTGATAACATGTGCAAGATTTTCAAGTATACACAACCCAGAAAAAAATACATAATAAACTAGAGTTCATTCACAGAGTGAAGCTTAGACTTCTTTTCTCCTGAGCCTTAGGGCCTCAAACATCAACTAAGGCTATATTTTCTCCTGCAGAGGAAGACTTACCATGAGTATTTCTGAGGTGTCATTTCTGATCTGCAGAGGTACTCTCCTCAGAAGAAGGTCAGGACTACAGAGGGAAACTTTTGCATCACACATCTTCATATAGAATATAATGTAGACTGTAATTTCAGATATATATGCATACCATCTTACACACTGAGAGAAATATGTGTAATTCCTCTGCATTTTTTTCTTGTAAAAATATAAAAAAAATGCTAGACAGCAGTCTGTTTTGGAACATGTAACTTTCTTTTCCTCCATAATGTAATGCTGATTTCCAATGGTTTGTTGAATAATTAATGGAAGTGTGACATATTAAAAAAAGAATAAAGCATTGGAATAAACTTTAATTGCAGATGTAATTAATCATAGAGCTCAGACTTGATACTATTAAATATCAGATTGGTTCTCTCTCTGTCTTTGTATTATAGCATTCACAATCACTTGGATAATACTACTACTTCTTCAGATGTGCAAACTTACTGAAACATTATCAAAGCTTTTCTTCAACTTTTTTTGTGCTGCAACTCTTTTATTAAAGTATTGTTAAATGCAGTCTTGTACACCCTATAGAGATGAAATAGACATGAAATGCCACATAACTCTGTGGTGGTACCAGAGTTCTTACACATGGTTGTGCTATGATATTAAAATGCACTCTTCTAAGACAAGTTTGTAATGCTGCTACCTTACATACTGTACCAGACATTCAACAAATAGCCCCTGCAGTGAGGTGGCTAGCACTTAGCAATATGTCACTGTACTCTATTTTATCTCTCATTTCATGGAATTTCAGCTCCAGAAGGAGAGGAGATAAATAG